AAATATTTCAGGGATGATTACAAGCTCATTTAAATATTTTATACTATTGTTCATGCAATACAAGGCCTAAGAGCACCTCAAGCTGGAGGATTACTGAATGAAGATGTATGAGTTGAAGAGGAATACATATTATGAGGATATTTAGAATAGATATCAGTTGACTTGAGACTCAAAGAGGTTAAGAGCATATGGATTGAGGAAGCATCCCGTGGGGATGCTTCCTCAATCCGTTACTTAACCCTTACTTAACTGTTACTTCCACAAAGTAACAGTTCTTGAGAAGAAAGCGTCTGAATAGAACTTTCTCTTTATCAATGGAATATGAATGGAATGAAGATTATTCAACCCTGTCTACATTACATGGTGGGATCTTATCTATAGAATGTAGTTCATCTGAATATTTGTCATGAAAATAGTGGTAGAATAGCAAGAGACTAGTAACATTTCATCTGTCAGGAAAGAAGTTGAAGGGTGGAAAATAATTAATCTCCCACAAATCTGTGTAAATACTTTTGAACTCTGTCAAGGCTGCAAAGAGGTGATTGAGCAGCTTCTGCCAAAATATGGCAGCAATAATTCATTTCTCATCTGTAGTATATTCCATCGCAAATATATGTGCATCTCTAAAAAAATCAATTTTTTTCTGAATTTCTGAGAAAAGTCATTATTTTCATACAGGCTGTTGTATCCATCTTTGCTTTTGGGGGGACTTAAATACAAACTATTGTCTCTATTTTTGCTGTGATTGGCAATCCAGGTAACCTTCAGGGAATTTCAGACTGAATCCTTTATTTAATCTATAGAGTGAGTAGATTGTTCTCATTCCTCTGACCATGTCCTCGGATAACTCATCTTGTTCTTATTTAGTACTGTTCAGTTATTGCTTGTTCTATTTTCACTAAGTTTAATACATGAGACAGGTAGTGTGTGCAAATGAGACAAGCAATAACTGAAAGGTACTAATTAAGAATGAAACAAGATGTCCCTGGACATAGACAGCAGATTGACAATTACCTGAAGAAGGCCAAAGGGAACAATGGCTGAAAAATTTGGATAACAACAACAAAGATGGGGGACAATAGTCTCTATGTAAATAATGTAAATAACTAAAAATAAAATTGTTTGACAGTGTTGGTATTCTCAACTGACATTCATCAGTTTTTTTAAATGCTCATTTTTTTTTTAACCATATCAAAAGTTTTCATTTCTGTATCTTATTATTTCTCCAACTCTTATTATTCAACTCAATCCAATGCATATTTATGTTTGTAAAATATTTTGAAAGCTGTTTTTCACCATAATAAACCAACAAATATTTGACAATAAGCTTAATTCATAATTATATAGTGGCAGTTATGTTTGTTTCAGTTATATGAAGACATTTTTCAAAATTCTCTTCTAATTCTTTTATTATTAATAGATGAAGATAGTATCATCTTCAAGAATTGTATCACAGTCGAGAAATGCCTTTTATATTTTGCATTTGTGTAAAGAAAGAACTGTGTGTGTGTAGTCTATAGTGTTGTCATTTGGAAGGCAAAGTAATCATATTTTTATAGTTTATAAAAAGTTAATAGTGAAGTGTCTCCTGACAGCTGATTTATAAATATGAGAGCCTGCTGAAAACTTTTTGTCCCAGCCCATTTCTCAAAACTAATATTCTAATATTTGGTCTTTGAAATACTGACTTGGGGAAGTGGGCTCAGCCCAGAACTTTTCATTACCTCTTTGTTTGATCAATAAAATGAATTCCATTATACTGTGTATCTTCTATAAGGAAAATATTTAAAAGAATATACTTTTGAATGGTTAAAGTTTTACTTAGTGATAGTATTTGTTGAGATGAAAATATTATTATCAAATAATATTGCTTGAATATTTTATTGAAGTTAAAACATCACTATAATTCATCTCACCAAATGAATTTTATATACTGTGAAACTAATTTCCACATTTATGGGGGCATTTATAAACTGAATGAAATCTGTTATTTTTATTGTCTTAGATTGATATAAATACATGTGGCTTTGTTAGGTCTTTTTCATTGCTAATCATAAGACTGCAAGAGAAAATTTTAAATTGAATGGCAGATAATCTTTATGCCATAATTATGTTCTTATAGACTGTCTTTTCCCAGTTCATCAAGTCTTTCTCATCTTTTAATTCCATTAATTACATACATGGTCTCCCTACACAATAATCAATGTCATATTACAATATGAGTCATAATAAGAATATTTTTTCTTGTATTTTGTCAGTTATCTAGTTTTCATTTTAAGTAGAAGAATCTTAAAATTTAAGATGAATATCAAGTAATTATTACAAAATAAAAAAAAAATATTTCTACTTCTACAGTGACACAATCAATTGTTGCTTGATTAGTTAGGGCACTTGATAGTCAAGAGGACTGTAAATGATTTTATCTAAGCTTGAAGTGACTGGTGTTTTATGACTATAGACTGTGTTGCTAGTAAAATAGAAATGTGAGAGCTTTAATAAAATCTGTAAATAAATAAAATCTTTCAGGACCAAGTGAATGATCGAAAGGTAGGGAACTCTGGTCATGGGCTGCATTGCTGTCATGGGAGAGTCACTGAAGTAGGCATAGTCAGTCATGTAGAATCAGATGGAGATGGAATTCTAGCTGGCTAAGTGTCACTTATTTACTTCAACCCAGACAGTGTTAGGTGAACCCATGAATAAAGAATACAGTATATTGAAAACAGGAGTCTGAGCTGTTTTCTTAATGTAGTGAGAGTTCACCTTCTGTCCCCCTACCACTACTACCTTATGTATGTATGTATGTATGTGTGTGTGTGTGTGAGCATACATAATTTCTATCAATTTTTGTATGTCAAAACATGATATACAATTTGCATTCCTGTACAACTCAAATCATTCAACAGCATTTTGAAACACATTCTGGTTTATTCGCAACCATTATATTCAGTATTTTGTAGACATTCTGGAAATTGTTGATAAGTAAATTGTAAATAAGTAAATTGTCAAAATTGTAATATTTGGGCAGATGAATGTCTAAATGGCTTTGTTCAACATTGGGAAAGGATAACATGTGGATTGAACTTTATTTCTACAACTGATTTCTCTTGACATCTTGTAACAATTCCTTGAATTTTATTTGCTTGAATATGTGTGATAATTAGCACTGTCATGTCTCAACAAAATAGTACTCCTTTGTCATAATTTCCCAATTGTTTGGGATTATTTGAATTAACACTTTCTGAATCAGTGTGTTAAGTATGAAATAACAGACTCTGTGGTCAACTTTATCATCTGTTCTAAGCTCTTTCGATTTCATCACCAGATCTAAGTTCTTTGGATTTATTTGCTTGGGGCAATATATCTGCCAAATGAAGATTGTGATTCCAGACAATTTCAGTACAGCAGGTGACATAAAAAGCCATAAATGTTCATGGATGTGTTTTACAAAATGCTACTGACTGATTTGCGTGGATACTGTTATGACAAACCCTATTTTTGATAATTCAATATGTTTTATTAATTTTTCATTCTATAGTAATTTTTTATAATTAGTGAGAGAGAAAGAGAGATCTTTTAAAGGCATAGAATGTAATATATATATATATGTGTGTGTGTGTGTGTGTGTACTATATTTAGTGGATACACATGTCTGAGTAGACATCTGTTTTTTAAACAGTATATTTTTGTCTGGTGGAATTGTTTTTTTCAAGAGTCTTATCCTAGTCATCACTTTTCAGTCTCAATAGGACCCAAGTGCATTTCCATGTTCTTGTGGATGACAAATTATTTTCCACCCTACAACTGATTTCTCACAGTTGAAATTTTACAAGCTTCTTGCTGGTCTATCACGAATTTCATGGAAAGTTCCTTAGTTCCACCAGTTCTAACTATCAAGCTAAAACCAGGCATGTCCTGCACACTGTAGCGAATGACCTTCATATTCCATTGGTGAGATGTAAGTTTCACTCAAGTAGCTTCTTCCCATAAATCATTGGTTTGTGGAACCGACTCCCAAGTGGATGCTTCCCTGAATAGGTGAAGGCAGACAACTGGCACCTTATAACCACTGCTTTGGGTAGATGCAGCTTGAGAGTCCTAGAAGACAATCCATCTACATGAAGGAAAACCCTGATTTTAAATCTCCACTGCCTTGCAGTCATGTCCAAATATGGAAAAGGCGATGGAATTAAATCCAGACAGAAAACCTGGAGTGGAGTCCCAAACGTTTCCGGCAACTCCTACAGCTCAGCTGGCCCTATATATAATGTTGTTTGGATCTTGTTGGTATTACCTAAAAGAAAGGCATTTAGACTCAAGTCTGTGCCCTGCAGAGGTCGCACCAGCAGTCTCATTACCAAAGGACTGAATTTTGATCAAACAGGGTGCTGCTACCTTTTATCTTGCGAGATAAACAGATACCTACCTACCTACCTATATATATATATATATATATATATAGATAGATAGATAGATAGATAGATAGATAGATAGATAGATAGATAAAATATAAAATGAGCAAAACTGCTAGTATAAGGCAAAATTTCTTTTAAATCATTATGGAAATTTATGGATTTATATGAAATTGAAATAAAACTGTCAGGAATGTTAATGACATCTTTTTGATGTTCTACTAAGAGAGTAAAGAAAAACCATTCTGGTTGAAATTAAGTACCACTTATTTTTAAAAAGGAAATGAAACAAAATGTAAATCACTATTTTTAGTAAGTTATAAATTTATGTTTGAAATTTTTTAATAATTCTATAAAAAGATTTTAAAATAGTTAAGTTTGCATAATGGTAGCAGTTTATTTTTGGAGTATTTTATTAATGAGGAATTTAAAAACATTCTCTTCATTCATCTGAATCTAACAAATCATATTTGTTCCAAGTACAACTAAAATTTTTTTCCAGTTTGAATCTTGGAAATTTTTGATTAATTTTGTTCATCACAAGATGTTCATTACATTGCAACACTAAGAGTAAACACTTTATTTTAGGTTTGGTACAACACATATTCATTTCTAGAAAAGAATAAAGATGAACTAAGCCATGATTTGGTCAGCTGCCTCCAAGACAGTTCAGATGAGTTTATCAGTGACCTCTTCACAGTCAAAAAGGGACCAACAGGAACAATCTCAGTGTAAGGCTTTTATTTATATCTTATCAGTTTTCATTTTGCATTGCAGAATAAATAGTCAATTTTTATTTGATATTTTTAATGCAATATACACTTGCATTTTCCTTCAGCACACCATTTCAGTATCGGCCTTCAAGAAAATTAACATTGGAAACTAAACTTCAACATCAGCATCGGTCTCACAGAAGGTATGTTCAGTCAACTTTAAATTAACACAATTTGAACTTTTTAAGGAAAAAATATGCTATGTCTCATTAATAACTACTTTTAATATTTCCTAATTTAAAAAAATATAATGAATCAATTCAGGGAAATAATTACACTGTAAATGTGCTAAACACTTTACATAATATCTATAAATTATAGTAGATTACTTGTCACTCTTATGATGTAGTAACAGTTTTTGAATTTTATGGGATTTTCAAAATTTCACATTATTAGAAAGATTACTGAAACTCCAACAAGCATTAGATTTTAATTAAGAAATTAAACAGAACATCAATGTAAACCTCTTAAGAATACTACACAAGTTTGCAGTCAGGTTAAAGTCATGTGAACAATCCAACCATGTCATCAAACTAGTAACTTTGAAGCCCATTTTATTCAGATATTCATTAGTTTTCTTCAATGAATGTGATGGAGTATTGTAATTAATAAAAATAATCTTCTTTCTGAAAGTGTCAATCTTCTTGAATGAAGACTTCACATATGCCTTCAAAAATCAATGTATGGTTGAATTGACACCTAGATATCATCTGAAACTTGCTACTTCCCTTAGAATCCTATCCCAAAACATTACACCCCTCTGTGACTCAACCCTGTGAGGGCAGTTTCTTCCAATAGTCATCCAGTCTTTGCTCCATCCATTTGGCCCATTGAGGGTAGTAGAGCTTTTGTCAGTGAAAAGAATCATTGAAAAATTAGTATTTTGCCAGTTTCATTGGACTTGCCTTATGAGTGTTTTCAAAGTAGGCCAAGTGATCAATCTCACATGTTTTGCCATTTGATTTATGATCCAATGTCTTTCTGCCACTTCACTGTTTCCATAATGTCTAAATTTTTATGTCAAAGACAGTTTTTTTTTTTAACTTCTCTCTTGATTAGAGATAAAGCTGGACTTAATCAGCCTGCATCAAAGTTGTTCAGGGTATTCAATAAACTTCTGATTATTTTTGTGATTTCCATCATTTTTTTTATCTTTACTAGCTCTGAACATATCTCTTTATCTGTCAAATCAGATTTATAAATCCATTTTAAAGCCGCAAAATTTAAACATGGTTATTAATTGGAAAACTTCAAAATTGAGGACATTGATACAATAAGCCTCATTTGTTTACATATACACAGAATGAATTGGTTTTCATTTTAACTGCACAAATAGATGTAGTCATCATCCAGCAAATAATTCTTTAAATTTGAATAAGTATTGATTTTATATATATATATATTGATAAAACATAAAATTCCTAATAATGTAAAATGCAATTCTTAAAAAATAAACCTTTGCTGAATCAAGTGATACATGAACTTTTTGAGCATCAGTATTTCGTATTTTGTAAAAATCTATAATTTATTGCATTCCTAGAGTTCAGTTGTTTGTTTTGGGAAAAATATCATTTTTTTCTTTCACTTAAATGTCATACAATAAACATAGTAAGTAAATTTTAATTTACAATGATTATAAAAGCATATGCAGATTTTAAAAAGGCAAAAAAATATGAATGGAATTTAGTCATTTGTCATTGAAAGGTAATTGATATTGATATTTCAACAGATAAGCTGACTGAGAATAGCAGAGAAATTCTATATTGTGGTTATAAATGTTACATAGATATAATTATTTTTTTTAAATAGAAAAAAATCTGTAAAGGCTGTAATGAACAATTTTTGACATAATTAAGTCAAATTTCTAGGGCACATTGTGGCAATAAATAAACACATCCCATCTCCCCTCTCACTTGTAACCATCCACTATAATAAAATAAATGTCTTCAGTGCTAAAGCTGAGTTAGTCAAATAAAGTCATAAGCTTCTACTTAAAGATAAATGTATATTTTTCAGGAAGAAATTTTAGTATTAAGTGTGTTGTATTGAATGCTAAAATGAATAGTGAAGAAGCCAAAGAAATAAAAATACAGGAATTGGTATTTCTTAAGGATAAAGATCGATGTCAATAAAAACTATATTTTTAAATAAAATGCTATGAAGTAGCTTTGTGGGAAATTGGAAGTTTTAAAAGTGTATCATTGTGAAATTAAGCTTATACAGTGAAATGACTTAACTTCTGTATATTTCCTTAAGACTCACACAATTTAAAAATTCCTACAAAATTGCAGTCAGATAGGTTTTTATAATAAGCCCACATGAACATAAGGTGAAAAAAAAGAAACCCAAAATTTAGGCATCATTGAGTAAAAGTTGCAATGTTGTATTATTATATCTTGTATAATATCAACAAAATCAGATAAGATATTCTTATTTGCTCCCTTTTGACTTAACATCATCAGTCAAGTATAATCTTTCTAAAGATTTCTTGACTTGTATTCTTTTCTCTGTTGTTAATTTAAAATCATTTGTTTCTTGATCCTCTTCAGATGGTTGCATAGTAAACCTTTCCTTGAATCAAATAGAAAAATACCTTCTTGTGAAACTTCCAATTCTTCTCTGAATTTCTCATTTGTATTTTTTTCTGCGAACTGTGCTTGCATATTCTCTTCATTTTACCAATTTTGTTGCTGAGTAAATAACATTGCTTTGTATTTTACTGTGTAATGCTTATGCAGTTGTCATTAATTAATATTGAGTTTTTAATTTACTTTGTGAATGTCTTCATATAAGAATTAATCTACTTAAACAATCTACTCTTTAAAACATGTCAAAATTGCTTCATGTTAACTCTATTCTTTTCTGTTATTAAATATACTTCTTACTTTAATATATACTTATAGTTTCTTCATAAATTTTGTCCATCTTTTCCTTTTTTGTTTCTTTGATCCATCAGCTAATCAAAAGAAGAAAATTGAAGGAAAAGCCTCTTTGTAATTAAACTTTTATTCTTGGCCTTTAAACATGTAATCAGAAAGGTCCCAACCCACCATATTTCACCAACAACTCTAAAGTCAAAATATGTTTAAAAAAATAAAGTTATCCATTAAATAAAGTAAAAAAGATAATGTTTAAATAAGATAATGAGGTTACAACAGACCAAGTATGCTCAAAGAAGTTTGACCAAAACTTCACTTTTCATTTGTCTAGAAATATATATATATATATATATATATTAAAGTGAACATTGAAGTCAACACTCAGAGGCGACAGGTTGTTTCATGCTAGACGTAATTGTCAGGCCTGATGACTGCATCTAGCATGAAACAGCCTGTCACCTTTGAGTGTTGACTTCAATATCTACTTTTATATTTATATTTACATATGCTCTATTTCTGATATTGAGCACTTTAGCCCATAAATATAGCACACCTTACAACTATATTTCTTCTTTTATTTAGTTTTTTATACAATTTCTCATGCGATCTAATAATTTTTTTCTTTTTGGATGATAAATTATATAAAAACTGTCCAAATGTTTTTTTTCCGAGCGCTTTCAGCTATACATTTAGCCATTTTCAAGGATAAAATATTTTAACTGTTAAAATAAGAAATAGTTTGTTGTATGTATGTTTTATAAAATGTTTTCATTTTTCAAAACACGGGCAAGATATTATATCCATGTTTCAAGTTACTATTATTAAGTGTTGTTTTTTTTGTTTTTATTAATAAGGCTTCCATTATTTTTAGCCTTTTTTTACATGTAGATGATGCTATTATATTAGTGTTGTCAACAAGTATTTTCTGAATAGTGTCTGGTAGGTCTCCATGAATATTTAAATGAGATCTAATTGAGCTATGGTCAGAAAGGTGTAGAGTGAGTCTGCATGTCAAACATGTTGTAATGTGGCCTATGTAATTATTTATGAATTTTGATTAATCAGGAATACAATTACTTAATGGGCATTTAAATTTGTAAATAATATTTGCCCTATTTAATTTTGTTCTAGGAGGTGAATTATTATTTTTAACTATAAGGTTAGAGGTTTTAAATTTTTTGTAATAAATAATTAATCTAATTTTTTTGCTATTGTCAACTGGTGTTATGCATTTTTTTATAATGTTCTTAATTCTGCTTTTATCCTGTTTATAATTATTATTTATTGTATTTAAAATACAATTGTGGCACAAGGCCAAAATAGAGAGGGGTTGAGGCTGGTCATCACTATCTATCTTATACCTAGCTAATCTGATTCACAACCCATTCACACATTACAATTACGACATGCACCATTAGAACTCGTCTGTCACCATTCAATCCTCCATAATACCACATCATCTCGTCCAAATCACCATTCAGGCCATGGCCAGCAGTGTCAGAAACACCATTCGTTTCATCCCAGAATATGGGGGCGACACATTGTCACATGCGTATGCGCAATCAATGAGCACAAGCTTTTCGGGAGCAAGATGAGCCGTCAACATGGTCCCATAAGGAGCGGACATGGGGACAATGGTAGAAGGTGTACCAAGGCCACACCATTCACAGTCTGGCAAATCCGCCAGGCTCCATATGAAGACTTTGTCATTGAGAGGCAGCCGATTCTGAGCCAATCACCAGGTAAGTGAAAACTCAGAGTTACTGAGATAATCCACTGCTGGCATCCAAGACCAGAAAGAGCAAAACTCCTCCTCCAACAAGTCGAGCTGTTCACATAGATTCTCCTTTGCAAACCCCTCCACTAAATGATGATAGAAGACCTTCCTAGGCTGAGAAAGGTCACTGAACTGAGGAACAGCCAACAAATAGACCACATTTAAAGGAAATTTGATTGATCCTGGGGTTTAGATGGCGCCAACACGCAAATGGGGGGGTCTGATAGTAAGGAAAGGGAACGCATCCCTAACAGTCCCTGCTATAATTGAATCTCTTGTCAATGCGCGGCGTAGGAAAGCCAACCTCGGGGCAAATTTGTAGCTCACCAAGTGTGGCATTCCCAGCCCCCCCCATGACACGGATATTTGTGCACAGACTCATCTGTCAACCTGATGTCTGTGTCCCCTCCATAAAATGGAGAATAGCGAGTGCTTGACTGGCGTCTTATGTTCTTTACAGAGAAGAAGTATGGACAAATGATAAAGG